ATGAATGGTTTTATTATATTTTTATTTAACCGTCTGTTTCATTCTATTTATTTTAAATAAACAAACACAAAGTAAAATAAGAAGTAAAGAATGGTTTTCAATTAAAGAAAAATTGTTATAATACTATGTTATCATTATTTAAATTGTTTGGGTACTGGTACTCGGTTACAAAAGGAGAAAAGAACTGTTAAATGAAGTTAAAATGACATTATAAGATGAGGCTTATTCTGGTGAATATTGTTGCTGATTATTTTAAGATATTTTAATTTAAAAGAAGAAACGTTCATTATCATAAAACATATATTTTAGGTTTTTCGTCATTGTTTCATTTTTCTTCTTTTTAAAATATATTAACTAACAACGATGAATATGATGAATTTTATTTTTTGTTGTTCATAGTATTTCTAACTGATGAGTTTAATAATCATTAATCAATAATATAAATTAAGTATTGGGTTGTCATTTATTAAGATAATCAGATTTTTAAATATAAATTATGACTCATTATTTTTATTTGTTTATTTCGTATGTTTGGTTTATCTTTTTTTAACTTCTTTTATTTTTATTAACATTATTTCTACAATAAATTAAATAGTGACTATAATGTATATTGAATATTTCAATATGTGTTTTTATTTTCATCATAAATAATCATTGTTTTAATAAATAAATGAATATACAGTATTTATTTTAAAATAAATTAAACAATTTTTCATTTATTATTTTATTTTGAACCAAACACAGTTAAAATTTGAGCCATCTGATTTTCATTTTGTAACAAGATTTTTCAATTAACCAAAAAGTCAATTAATGTTACCATTTCTACCATTACATCACGACACACCCTGATGAACTTGGTCTAGTTTCAGTTTCATATTCAACACTTTTGGTTTTCCATTCAGTGTATGTAACTTCTCCATCAAATCCAGTTCTTTTCTCTCGCTCTTTATGTTCAGTTTTGAACTTTACTTCTTTTTTGTTTGCTTCTTCGATTGATTTGACATCTTTTGTCTCAATGTCAATGTTTTTAAATTTGATTGTTCTTTTTGTATCTCTCTTTTTGTTAATTGGTGTTAGGTAACAACCCCAAGTTAGAAGTTTTTTAATTTCCTCTTCCGTTCTACTGTTATTACTTCCTTCAAATGGGACAGAATCTACAAAATACATTGGAAATTCAATGTCTTCATCATCTCTTGTTGTATCTTTTACAAGTTTCTTTAATTTTGGAAGTAATTTCTCTTTCTTTGTTTTAATTTTTATTTCTAATTCGTTTTCGGATATATTGTATAAGCATTTTGTCCACACAACACAAACATGTTCCCAAAAACCTTCTGTTGGAAAAACATTACAAATTAATTTTATCATTCTTTCAACATTATCTGACAACACTTCTTTGTTGAAGTCTAAAACAATAACAACAGCTTGTACTCCTGTCTGTTCTTTAATATAATCAATCATTTGGTTTATTTGATTTTCATCCATTTCACTTGAATCTTGAATTCCAGGTGTATCAATAACAAATACATTCCTTCTATCACCTTCTCCATTATACCCAACTGTCTCTTGTGTTTTTGGTGCAGAACTACTGCTCACATCAAATTTAATGGTTTTAAGGATAAAATTCCCAAGTGAACTTTTACCATCTCCTACTCCTCCGATTAATACCATTTTGGCTTCTTTTGACTCTCCTCTACTCATTGATTATTACTGAACTGTAATTTGTTTAAAAAGTATTTTAAAACGACAAACTATAATTACCACTTGTTTTAAATGATGTTTACCATTTTTATTTACAATTTAATGTTCTCATTTGAAATTATTTAATGCAATATTATTTTAAATTGAAAAACAATGTTTAATCGTAATTATATTTTTATCATTTTATAAAATTATTTTAATGTTATTTAAAAATACGGAACAAACCATAACGTAGTTAGTAAAATTTAATAAACACCCTTATTTAAATAGTTAAAAATAACCATATTTTTATTATTTTTTTGTTTAAAATTGCAATTTCATAAATTAAAAATAAGCAATTTTATTTATATTTATTATGACTAACCTTACAATGATATAACTATGAAATGAACGTTTTTATTTAATTAAAATTTTATAAAGTCATTGCTTATTCTTCTTTTCAATTAGAGTATATTTATATTAAATGAATAAAATTAACCAATCATTCTTTATATTTGAATTAAACGATAACATGATAATACTGGGGTAATATTTTGATAATGTGTGTATGGAAAATGTAAAAAAAAGAAGAACCGATTATTTTTATGGTTTATTTGTATTTTCAATAATGTTATTTGATTTATAAGTTTGTGATGGTTATTAACTTATAACAAAATGTTGGTATTTTATTGAATTAATAATATCAAATAATAGTATGATGCTTTTTATCTTGATACCATTAAAAAGAAGTTATCAATAAATTACCTTCTTGATAACAACCATTGACTATTAATGACTAACAATGATTTTTTAATGCTTTGATTTATTTCTTCTTAATGTTTATTGTATATTATTATTTATAATTTATAACTTAACATATGTTAACTGTTTATCATAAATCCTTTTTATCTGTTTATTTATTCATTTTTATAAATAATGGTGTTATGAATAAAATTAATATTGTCAATTTATTTTATGGCTTATCAATCAGTTAACAATGAGTTAATGATTAAAGTATTATAACTCTCATATAGAAGTCATTTTATATTTTTCCAATTAAAACAATGAATAAATTAAAAAAGATAGTTTAGTTAATGTAAGTTTCTAACCATTCTTATCATCATGTGATGATTTAAGATTATAACAACTTGTCATAATTAAGAACTCCACCTACAACAGCTTCAAACTTTCTATCTCCAATTTCTGTTTTTAATCCTTGAAGCTTTGTTTCTGAAGCACCAACAAGATTCTTTGGAATTTTTTCAGTTACAGGCTTACTCTTCACTACAGTCCATTCTGTGTAATTAATACTTCCATCATATCCAACTATTTTCTCTCTTTGTAGCTTATTGATTAATAACTTTATGCGATCATGTTTTAATTCAACAATTTTTGTTTCTTGTTTCGTTTCTATATAAGTGTTATGAAATTTTATACTTTTTACTTCTTTATTTTTTAAAGAAGGTAAAGTACGTACCCAACTCAACATTGATATAATTTCATTCTCTGACCTAGTGTTATCTACTCCTTCATCTGGAGATGAATCAACAAAGTACATTGGTATAACAAAATTTGAATCTCCTGTTGTTTCTTCAGCGAAATTTAACAACTGTTTTTTATAACCTTTCCTTTTGCCTTCAACCATTTTGTCAATTACATTTTGTGGTGTGTAGCAATAACATTTACTCCATACAACACAAACATGTTCCCAAAATTCATAAACAGGAAAAATCTCATGTATTATTCGAATCATTGTTTTGGTACTATTTAACAACCGAGGGTTGTTAATATCTAAACAAATAACAATAGACTTTATTCCACTTTCTGTTTGGATATATTTTACCATTTGTTCAATATTTTTTTTCTCTTTTTCTTTACCATTAGAATCATTAAAACCAGGAGTATCAATAACAAATACATTCTTTCTATCACCTTCTCCATAACCTCCATTTGTTTCTTGTGTTAATGAATTAGCACCATCACCTACTTTAAACTTATTAAGTTTCTTCAAGATAAAGTTACCAAGCGAACTTTTACCACTTCCTGTTTCTCCAATCACTATTAATTTAGTTTCCTTTGTTCCTCCTATGCTCATTGATCATTGTTCACTTATAAGTTCTTTAAATAGTATTTTATTGTGACAAAAAATTATTTATAGATTTGTTGAATGATGTTTATTATAAAAATATCTTATTTTTGTTTAAAATAAATATACACAATTCAATGTTCTTAAAATACTCGCTGTATTATTCTATGTTTATACAAAAACAACAATTTATTTTTATCAAATTTTACATAAATACTATTTAACGTTTTATTACAACATTTCTTTTAATTCCTATGATGTATTTATATTTATTTTTACATTAAAGCTTATTTTGGTTTAACTGATTAAGCAATTATTCAAAACTGGATGATTTTTGTTTGTTTGAAATGGAAATTAACAAGAGATAAATATAAATAAACATGTTTATGATATAACATTTGAACAAAAAGCGATAAAATAATTTCGTTCAACATTCGAAATATATTTGCTATATTACTTAATAATTGTTTACAATAATTAAATTATTATTTCTCATTTTTTAATAATAGTAATTATTCGTTGTTATTATTTTAAAAATTAGTTTGTGTGACGCTAATGATATTATTTTTAAATAATCGGAATAAAAATTAACATTATAAATAGTTGATTCTATTTATATATTTATACAAAACAAAAATATGAATATTATTAAAACAACACAGTCAATTTTTTACTCACTTTATTAGTCATATTGAAATAATAAATTAATGACTAATTTTTTCTTAGTATTATCGTAAATAACAGTAAGGTATTATCAAAAAATGAAATTATTTATTGTGTTATATTTGTTACATCTTTTTTTTTATTTTAAATAATTCAAAAATATCATCAAAGTATATTTGTGTTGTTTAAAATAATTAGGTTTATAAACTATGTTTGTTATGGCTCTTCTGATATAATACATAGCCTGTGAATTATTTTTATCACAATTTTAATAACATCATTTCAATCCATTAAAGAATGAATTATTTTAAGCATTACCTTTTACGAAGTGATTCCAACATTCTAATAACCAAACGAAGAAATTCTTTACTCTATTACTGTTTGTGTTATTAGCTACTACTTCCCAATCACCACAATTAATTATTCCATTATATCCGATTCTTATTTCTCTTCTCATGTATTTGACTTGTGGTATTGTATTACTATCACTTTCTGTTAAATCCTCTTGTCGATATTTTTCTTCTATGATTGCTTTATATTCAGAGCCTTTTGTTTCTAAATCCCTATAAATTTCAATATCACCTAAACCCCGAACCTCTTTTAGAAGTCTTTCAATCTCCTCCTTTGATCTACTATTGTCTTCTCCTTCTGGTTGCGAGTCAACATAAACCATTAGTGGCATATTAATAATTTCTTCTCTCTTTGTTATTTCTTCAATACGTTTCTTTATTTGTTTATTAAAAAAATCTTTTTTCATCGTCTTATGACTCTCTATTATATTTTTTGGTGTATAACAATAGCACTTAGTCCATACAATACAAACATGCTTCCAAAAGGGATAAAATGGAAAAACATTACACATAATTTCGATCAATGTTTCTAAATCATGAGAAAGTATATCATTATTAAAATCTAAAACAATAACAATTGTTTGTATCCCTCCTTGCCCTATAATATATTTAATCATTTCATTTAACCAGCTTTCATTCTCTTTACTTGTGTCTTGAAGAGTAGGTGTATCAATAACAACTAAATCACTTCTATCATCTTTTCCTTCACACCCAATATGTATTTCTTTTGTTACTGAATTAGCACCATCACCTACTATAAAAACATCACTCTTTAAAATAAAATTACCAAGTGAACTTTTGCCAACACCTGTATCACCAATCAAAAGTATTTTTGTTTTTGGTTTATCTTCTGGTACACTCATTGTTTATTTTTTAGTTGTAATTTCAACTTCTTTAAATATTATATAACGTTAATATTTATAGATTTTTTTTGGTTCAGCAATTATGTTTGTCAATTTTATTTACATAATGCTGTAAAAATAAGTGTTTAATTATCGAAACATCATACCTTTAACGTATTTAAAATGACAAACTTTACCCCCTTTTATTTTATTTATAAATAAAATTGCATCTTTAATTCTAAAACAGTTAGTTATAAATAAAAGAATAAAATTCAACAAAATAATTAATTTTATAGCATTAATGCCTCACTACCATTTCATTAGTTTTACATGAAATTATTTTTATTTTATCAACAGAAAGTTGTATAGAATTTGATTTTACAATACATACATAATTTATTTAAATGAAGTGTTAAATAAAAATAAATATGAATATTTTATATTTATTTAAAATAAATGGATAAAAGAAAGTTATAACATAAGAGCTAACAAATTAATTTGTTATTTTATAAACATATAGACTATTAATGAAACAGGTTATATCTTTTATTTTGTTGTAAATAATAAATTTATACTTAATTTTATTGACTTATTCGTAAAACATAAAAATGTGTTTTTGTTATTTCAATCATTTAATACAAACCAATTAAAATTTATGTTTATTCATTTTAAGAATTACATATTATTATTAATGTTATCTTATTATTTTTAATTATTAACATTGTAGAAGTTTAATTATCTTTAAAATGAATTATTAATTAAATTTATCATTTATTTTATTGTTATTTATGTTTGAACTAATAGTATTATATTCATTGACAAATGGTTTGTTGTAACAATGTTTATTTCTATAATAAAAAATCCTTTCAAGAATTTGTTAAACCAGTGAACAAACAAAACAATAAAAAAGATTGAATTAATTATTTTATTCTCTGTGTTTATTATTTCTATTATCCACGTAAAATAATGATATTTACTTGTATATTTAAATTTTTATTGTGTTGAAATGTAATTTTATTAAAATTAATGTTTGTTTCATTATCATTCTTCTGTATTATTACAGCATTATGTTAATATTTTCTTTTATTAATGTATATCATCAAAACTGTTATCATTATATAAGTATAACATACCATTTTTCATTTATTTTGTATTATTCTTATTCTCATTTTATTCAGTCTATTTCTGTTTTTATTTATAAATTATAAATAAATTAAACAATATTTATTACATCTAGATTTATTTCCACTTATCTGTGTTTTATACTTCTTAACTTCTCATGTACTAATTTGTATTTACTTAATTTATTAAATAATTCTTTGTTATAATTTTCATTTTATATTTTTGTAACTTCAATAATATTGTTTTATAATTATTTGTTATTTTGAATACATTATTTCATGATGTAAATTTAATATCATCTCCTGTTAATAAATCTTTGTTATGAATAACTGTAATTAGTCTGTTTGATGTTATTCAATGACGTTGATATTTTCCATTTTTCTATGTTATTTTTAATTACTGTTTTAGTTATTTCTTCGTTTATATTGGGTATTTCAACTAAATAACTACTGTTTTTATTGATAATTCAACCAACTAAATTTGTTTCAATAAAATACATAATTTCAATAACACAATGTCAATAAAAAGGACTATGTGAATATATAGAAATTTATCTGTAATATCTGTTCTGCTAACATTAAATAACAAATCTAAAACAGTGAATAATACATGAAAAACAATTTCAAATGGTATAAACTGTTTTTTTGAATTTACTTATTATGAGAATATTCAATGTGAACTTTAATAATAACAAGAAGAATGAGTAAAGAATATCAATAAAAACTTCATAACATCTATCAACAATGAGTTTAAGAAGTGAAGGTGTTTGTGAATAACAAAATAATGAAAATAAAAGAAAATGAAATTTATCATCAGTATTCTTATTAATTTAGATTCACCATTATAAAATTAATAATGATAATTAATACCTTAATTCTATTTTTTCCTTTATTAACAATAATTTCTTGATGAATTTTATACCACTTTATTACTAATTTCCTTCATTTGAGAATTGAACAATTAATTATAATAAAGTACTTATTAGAATCAATACAGATGGAAATAATTCTTCTACAACAAGTCCAATGTTCAATTAATCATTCTGAACAATTTCTTGATGTGGTATTAACTTTAGTATACCAGAAATAAAGTGTTGAATATCAGAATTAATTACCAATACAACACCTTCTTTATTTATTTCATATCATTCAATTACAACTAAAAACAGTCAATAATTTTGATAAAAGATAACAATATTACATTAATTTTATTCAAAATTAATGGATTTAAGTTTTTTCTCATGTTTTATTTGAAAAATATCATCCATAACTAAACAACAGAAATTGTTAATATTCAAAGAAAAATGAAAATGAAAATTACGTATTACTTTAAGTATTTCTTGAAAAAGAATTAACATATTTTTCTATTTTATTTTCAAGAAAAAGAACAAAAATGAAACAAATAAACATATTCTCAATGAGATGTTATGAATGATGAGAATTGATATTTCAATTATTTTTATACATTCTGTTTCAATTATAACGTTTATTTTTAATGTTCTTTTATCTGAATATCATTATTTTAATATATTAACAGAATGAAATAAATAAAATATTCTAATTGCTTCACTAATTACATAATTAGTGTTTGTGTTATTTTGTTAAAATGTAATTATACTTATAGTGTTGTGTTTTTATTCATTCTTTATGTGTTATTCAGTTTATTGTTATTCTTTTATTGTTCATTTTCTTCCAATTCATTCATCTCTTCTTCTTATTTTATTAATTCATTTGTTTCTTCTTTATTCTTTCATTTCTCCTATTTCTTTATTGTGTTTTATTATGTGATTTTTCTATTATGATAATACTGTTTGTTTCTATTGGAATTATTGTTAAAATATTATGACAATGATGATTGAAGTAACTAATGAAAATATAATGTTATGATGTTAATTCATTTATTTCTCAATACAAATGATACATACTCTCATTCTTTTATTATGACTGTTTATCTTTGTTGTAGTATTTCATCTAATACAGCATTTTAAACTAATACACGAAATAAAGAAATAATAGGAAGTTCATGTGATAAATGGTATGATAATTAATGAAAAGAAACAAATGAAATTAAGACAGAACAACATAAACACAAACAAAATCAACATCAAATGAATAACCGTATATTCACTATAAAATGATATAAACAAAGTATAGTTTATTGTTGTATTATGCAACTTAATGTATTAATTGTATTCTATGACATTCGTCTTTTAAATTTACGTATTTTTTCAAAGTAAAACCATAATACCATTTTTATTATCACATAATCAAAAAGCATGTCAAATGACTAACAAATTGTATCATCAATTCTTCATTAAAATTCTATAACACACCTCATTCCATTGAGATTTTATGATAAACTAAGTCATCCACTTTTCACCAGATTAGGTATCTTGTCATTTGGATAAATCTCTATAAAACCTTCATCATCCAAAAATTCTTTATCAACAAAAACTTGTTCTTTCCTTGTCATTTAATATTCTATCTGGTGACACTCAACCACAAATCAAACAAAGTGTATTTAACACGTCTGAATCAAATGATAGTTGTCTTGTGTTATTATCTTTAATAAACTTCTTCAAATCCACATGTCTATCACCATGAATAGACAAAGGATAATACTTTCGTTTTTTATCATCATGAATGAAAAGATTTTTAACTTCTAAATTGGGATATGAAAAGTTTAACACCTGAAATTTCTTTCATATCAAATACAATTTCACGTTCAGTATTTGTATTGAATTTTGTGTTTTTCTAAACAAGCACACACTTCTGCTTTTTATTCATTTTTGTGGTTAAAGTGCAGACTTCGTAATGACTCGAGGGTTAATAATATCAAGAACTTCTTAAACCACACAATAATTCTATCACTACAAAACAAAAATTATCCATGTTGTTGAATATTGGTTTTAACTATTAAATATAGGTATTGTTTATTATCAGTTATTACAAAATAACGTCAACGAAATAAATTAACCACACTCGAGTTTAGTTTAATTCTAACAAATAAACTGACTAATGTCTCCTTGTTTATTTTATTTCACACAACACCACAAATCACATTGTCATTATGATTAAATTAATTACAATGATTCTTCTAAATAAAATCAAACAAGACATAAATAATACGATGAAATGAGAATGATAAACAGAAATGATGAAATAGACATTAAACAAGAATGATGTGAAGTGAACTTGTTCTTTTTCTGTAAATTCGTGAAATTCCTTTTTCTCTTTTTTCTAAAAATTGAACTTAATATTTTTATTATTTTTTATATTATTCTTTCTATTAATTTATTATTTATGAATTATTCACATTTTTGATTATTAGATCCTTTTAATGATTCATTTTATGAACATTTCATTTCTTCTCTTATGTCAAGATAGTGTTGTTTATAATAACTTATTAATTGTTGTGATGATTAGTTCTTCAAAATGAAAAGACACTGAATTAAAAGAAACAATGATTGGAATTAGAAGAGAATGAACAGAATGGGAAATGAGATTTTTAAGTTATTTACAATTGAAAGAATAAAAACAGTTGATCAAGAATATCAAATGATTAGAGAAAAGTCCATCGAATCAGAAAAGAAGCTATTCTCAACACTACAAAATATTATCAAACTCAAAAACATACTTCATGAAGCTGCTTTACTTCAAGTTGAGATTTCTTATTCATTATGTGAAATGACTTTAAACAATCTCAAAGCAACTCAACTGACTAACTCTATTTTGAATGCATCACAGGATATTCTAACTCAACAAAATCACTTCAATTCATTCATCAAAGATAATATAGAAATCCCTCTCCATTCATTTCTTAATCAATTCAGAATGTTAAGTAGACGAGATTGTGAGTTAGAAGAAAGAAGAAAGAAAATGGATAAAATGAAACAACACCTAGTAAAGAAAAAGAGAAAGAAGTTAG